CACACACACACACACACCTCTGTAGGCACTGTTGCCTTGGGCATCTGTGTGTGGGGACAGACAAAAAAGTGCTGTTTTTGTACATGTGTCATGATACTGCATACAAGTGTAATAAAGGGCAGAATTAGCATGTTTCATCATTCTGACAAAACCTCCAGATCCCATGGATGCCTCTGCATACAGCCAAAGATGTGTTTTGGGGAACATCAACAGACTCGTGACTGGTGCTACAAAGTCTCACAGACTGGATGACTAATTTAGTGCTTTAAACAAAAGCTGCTATAGCCATATGTCAGACAGATTTCATGTGTTCCCCTTCTGTAAGATCTTTAAGCAAATGTGCCACAAATGGCTTTCTGGCAACCTTTCCCCTACTTCTTTATTGTAAGAAGTTTTAAAATGCATTTTCTCTGTTAAAATAATTTCTTGACTATTCTGATCTCAAGAGAAATCAATCCAAAATCTCACGTTATCAGACAGCATTAAACTCATATCTTGCCAAGGGAAGACAAACAAGAGGTATATGATTCCCATGTAATACATCTGCTAGTTGCTTTAGATATGGAGATGGTCAGAGATGGTAAAATGGCAAAGAATAATAGAGTAAAAAGAAGTTATTGTTTAGCTGGTACACACAGCTGCTGATGCATTGTGATTACATCTTACTAAGGGAGGATCCCAGGATAGCTACTTGAAGCAGAGAACCTTGGGATCTCCTAGAATCAGGTTGGTACCAGACTTGATTAATCACTAGAGGATTTTAGGATTTAGGTGGTTGTGAAGTGAGTGGTTATGGCCATTAACATTAACAGGACAACTGATACTAGGTGTGGAAGGATAGATTAAAAGGTCCAGCGTGACTTGCACAATTACCCAAGGCAGTTCAAACAGAACAGATTACAGTCCACCAAACTTCTTTTACTATTGCATTCCCCAAATAATGCTATTTTTAACACTAGGGATATGTGTATAGAATATGTTCCTTATTTATTTTAATCATAGCATACATTTCTTCTATTATGAAACTGAAAGTGGATTCATGCACTGAATGTCTCATCTAATTGTCAAGTAGACCTAGATGTGGATGTGATTTATTGAGTATACTTACTGCATTGTGTACTTTCATGTCCCTTGTGTTAAGAACAGGAACTGAAGACAGAGTTGTCTCTTGCTGCAAGTTAACTGGGGGCAGGGAGTAAAGCTTAATGAAAGACAGATAAGAATGTCATCATGCATGCATGTACCGATAATTGATGACTGTGTATATGTCATCAACTCAGTGTTGACTTTTAGTGACTACATAGATAGATCTTCTCCAGGATGACCAGTCCCCAACCTGCCCCTTCAGGTTTTCCAGTGATGAACCCATCACTGCTTTAATGAAGTCCATCTGCCTTTCTGCTGGTCCCCCTCCTTTTCTCTTTCCTTCCATTTTGTTTTACTGCATACTTTATAGACTTCTCATGAGAACTAGGTCTTTACATAATGTGTCCAAAATATGATAATATGAGCCTGGTAATTTGTGCCTCCACTGAGAACTCTGGATTCATTTGTTTTATAACACCTTTTTTGTTTTGTTTTATTTTCTTAGCTTTCTTTCTTAACTGTCCATGGTATTCAGGAGTCTTCTCCAATACCAAAATTCAAAATCATCAGCACTCTTTCTATCCTGCTTTTATAAAGTCCAACTTTCACTTGATGTCACAGGGAAAATAATTGCCTGCCCAATTCTAATCTTTGTAGGTACAGACATATCACAACATATGAATATATTTTCCTTGCTAACCTACCACATCTATGGCATATTTCTTGATTGGTGATTGCTTTACTGTTGATAGTTGAACCTAAAAGGCAGAAGTTAACCATCACTTCAATATCTTCACTGTCAATTCCAAGGCTGGTTGCTGCTGTACCTGTGGTCATTAGGTTGGTCTTCTTTAAATAAAATATAAAGATAATTTATATTTTATTTATTTAAAATATAAACTATTTAAATTTATTGGCTGACCAACTTCAGTGGACTCTAGGTGGTTCACAAAACTAGAAAAAAATAAAAACAGCTAAATACAGAAAATCAAATAGACAGCACAGACTAAAATAATCTGCTAAACAACAAAATCAACAAAACAGGGGCCTTACATCATAAACATCAACCAAGGCCTGGGACCAAAACCAGATTTTCAAAGCTTTCTGGAACCCTAGGAGAAAGGGCACCATCTTTATCTCTGGGGGATGCTGTTCCTGAGGGTGGGGGTCACAACACACTTCCTAGGTCCGATAAAATGACAGTGTTTAATGGAGGGGACCTAGAGCACACTGAGTCTGCTGGAATGTACTGGGCGGGCAGAAACAATTGGAGACTGTCTCTCAGATATCCAGGCCCTATGCCATCCAGGGCTTTACAGGTAATAACCAGCACCTTGAATTGCACTTGGAAGCTGACTGGCAGCCAGTGAGTGCAGCTTCCATAGCAGGGGTGATACCTGGGCACACCAAGAGGCACCCATTAATGCTCATGCTGATGCATTTTAAACCAGCTGTA